GTTAGGTTAGGTTAGGTTAGGTTAGGTTAGGTTAGGTTAGGTTAGGTTAAAATTGTAGGTGAAAATTAAATTAACCGCTGATTTTCACACATGAATATTTCTTAAGTAGATTTGCTCCAATTTGGTGACCGATTTATAAAGCGAACATTTTCTTGCAATGTGATGTAAATAACATTCATAAAACCACTCAAAAACAGAAGCATTTAAATTTATAAAGAGAACAGCTGGATTGGGTAATCATATTAATCATTTTATATATGCTTTGATAATTTTTCATAAAAAGCTAAATTAAAGCTGCTTGTAAACATTTGAAATTCACAAATTACTGATGGTATATCTGCTAATTTATACAGGGTGTAACTGAAATTATTTTACACCATAAAGAAAAGTCCTATAAATATGAACATAGGTTTGTGGATAAAGACTAAATATGTAAAAGGCTAAAAAATATGCATACCAAATTTGGTATCTGTTTAAATTTCTTCTAGGAGATGATCAAAAAAAAGTTTTTTAACTTTAAAACCTATAACAACTTTTTTCGTTAATCGGCTATTGAAGTTTGCCCAACCGTTTTAGTCCTTACATTTTATAAAAAAAAAAACTGTTCCAAGTGTACTTTCCAAATACAGTTCTCATACTTAAAAGGAATAAATAATATTGTTTAAAATTTTTATTTAAAAGATATGAATGAACCAACTTAAGATATGAATGAACCAAAAACAAATTAAGAGATTTTATAACCATTCCATCAAGCATTGAAATGAATTACCTTTACCCAGTTGAATTAAATATATGCACATATTAGTTCCGAAATATAATTTAAAGCAATGACGGATTCCTTTATGTGGCTCATGTTTGAAGTATGTCCACGTATTTGCATTTCCAGAAGACGAACATAAAATTCTGGTAAATAATAAGCAATAACCCTCGAGTTTCTACAAACTGCGATTTGATATTTTTAGTGTGCATTAAAATAAGAGCTAGGAAATGCCACTCCAGTCAACAGAACCATGTCGGAAAATAACCTGCTCTTTATTAGCAATAAATTTTTTATTACATAATTTTAAATTTATGTACATACCTTTTATACACTTTATTTAAAAATTTAAATATCAGTACTTCGTTAATTAATTCATGATATTTTTCATAAAAACTCCATATAGAGAATTTAAAAATTCAAGTTAATTTGTGTACAGAGTGTATCATTTAGAAAAAAATTTCAAAAGATTGTTAGGTTTATTAGCTTTGGAAATGTTAAAGAAATGAACATTTTTAACGAAGTATTTACGAACTTACACTTTCGCAAAATTATTTACCGCGAACGAATTTTTTAAATTTTATTGAAGACTGCATTCATTGATGTTATCAAGTCTAACACAACCACCTGAAAATATTAATAAGTAGGCGTAGCAATTCATACGGAATATCCATATTTAAATTGTTAGTGTGTGCAGCCAACTGTTATCTGGTAAGGATACTTCACCGGATTATTATAATTTTCATTGTAGAAGTCGCACAATTAGAAAACTAGAAGAGAAAAATCCTTCTTTAGAACGAAATGTTCGTTATAGGGCAGTCTCATAGCAGGCCAGAAGTTGCACTTAAGTGCAGCGAATAGCACTAAAACGTGAGTACACTTGGGGAAACAAACGCCATACTCTTACTTCTGATACTATGAAATAAATTTTCAATTTTAAAAAATGGGTATTTCAATTTACATTTTCCAGATACAGGATGTTCGATAGGAAATTCTCGAAAATGGTTTTTTGAATATATTCAAAACGAACTAAAATATACATAGGTATTTTACATTTTATTTTTTTATTTATTATTGTATAGGATCTAGTAACACTCAAGGGTTGAAACAAAATGTTGACCCATTTCTCTTAAAATGAAAGTCCCAATTATTTAAATTTTGTTATGTTTTAATTGCAACAGTTCAACAGTCGTCATTTTTCGTAAACAAAATTTCAAACTTTAAGATATTTAAGATGAGGCAATTTCTCTAAGTATTTGTGGATTGATGTTTATAGAAAAAAATCTTATTTGAATCACTATCACTAAAGTTTGATCTATGAAATTTTAGGTCATGAATAATACATTATTTCTAAAAATAAAATGACTAATGTTTCTTATGGAACAAGTCGCACAATCTATTAAAAATTATAGCAGGAACAACGAAATGAAATAAACATTTTTAAATGACTAAATTTTTCACCTTGAAATTTGGGAAAAATATTGCTCCCACTAAGAACATAGATCAACACCTTGTAAACACGGACTCTAACTTTTAGTTCGTTAGGGGAA